ATATTCATATATTGTGGTGTTCTAAGAGAATCGAAAATAAAAGTAATTGATCCATTTAACATATTATTATACATGATATTATTAGATTATACCACCGGTGATGGAAAGTAACTTAGTACATTTACTCAAGTAATCCACAACTATTTAGAAGGAAATACTGCACTTTTCACTCCACATTGTTGACTGAAAAACTTTACTTACTTAGCATTAAAATAAAAAAAAAATATATATATATATACATATATATATATATATATATAATCAACAATATGATGTATTAGTAAAGGTTAAGATAAAATTAAACTTGATGTACACATTAATATGTTAATGATTATAATCAAATACAATAATATATATTAATCTGAAATGGGACATTCAACAAAATGAAAACTTTTAATTTTGGCAGCATATTTGATTTTACTTCATTAAAATTTTGAATACAGGACTTTTCGTTATAGTTCTACCCTGCCTTATTGATATTTTTCACTCAATAATATTTGAGTGTTTCTTCCACCAGTGATTGTTACTAATGCATGTTGGTAGAAGAGCTTAAACTAAGCAGTATTTTACGTTGCAGCTGGTTGAGGTGGCGCTCATTTTAATTTATATACTATTATGTACGAATGGAAATACTGATGTAAAGCACAGATACAGTAACTCAAACTTGCATTTACTGCTTCTGTAGCTATAGTTGGGCCATCAGGGAGGTCATGAGATGATTATTGGGGGAAGGACAGAAGAAAAAACAAATTAGGATTCTGAAATTCAATTTCAGGCTTTTCTTTAGTCTTTGCCTTTTAATGGCTCCTCCACTTTCCCCCAGCTGCTCCCTCTGCAGGAGGGCTTTTAAGCTTTTCTGAGCACTGTCTGCTTTTACAGCTGTTTGGCACTATCACACTATAATGACTTAACAGCTAGTACAAAGACTGCCATTTGAAGGTTTCATCTACATGCTGCTACACAGAAAGACAGTGTAGAGTTACTGTATTGTATTTCTGATGTAAAATGTTTAAATGGAATAGGGAAATTGTTCTTTCCTTCCTTCTTTGTCCTTCTATTAGGAGAGAGGGTGAACAGTGAACTCAGTACACACTTACAAAATATTACAATATGCATATGTATGCTTCGATTGGAGGCATACACCCAGGTGTCCGTTTATTAGTTTTAATTAGCACAAAACTAATGCAGGCTAATAAAACAGCTCTGCAGTAATTCTACCATCATGAAAATGTAAACTTTCACAGAGGTGTTGATTAAGCTTCATGTTCATGTTACAGCTGCAGTTGGTTCTGTTGAATGGATGAGTTTATATCAGCGAGATATGTTTTGATTGCATATTTCTCACACTTGAACCTATAGCAACTATTGTATTGCACTTGTTTCCCTTTTAACACAGAAGTTAGATGGAGATGTTAAAGTGAAAAGCCTCCAGTGACTGCATTTATTTACACTTTGAGAAAACAAACAACAAACGAATAAGAATTGACGTATTGCAATTTTTTTGTAGCTTGTTAATATGTCGGCTAAGCTAACGTTAACTACTAAATCGGCACACAGCAAACATTCATGTTGCAGACTGAAGGAATGAAAGCAGGGTGCTGGATTTTAAACACTGTGATGCTGATGAAACTTATGCATTGTAAAAAAAAAACCATGTCATACCCACCCAACCTGTAAAGAGACTTACAGAGATTTCCATTTACTTTTTAGATCACTTTACAGTCACTGGAACAGTCAACTCATCTCTTACAGTTGGTAATAGTAAGGAATATGTCATAATGCACAATATATACTAAATAAGTGAAAGGTTACAAGATCCATAGGAAATCTGGTTTCCATATCACTTCAATGATTCGGCAACAACAAAAATTCAGTTCAATTTATTTGCAGTATGAAATTTGTGTTGAGTAACGCTCTTCCTCAAACAATCAAGGTTTAAATTCTATTCAATTCATTGGTTAAACCCATGCTTTTACCATACAAGTGAATCATCTTCCTCATCAATTCGGATCTGTGATATAGTAAACTCTAAACCCCCGACGCTGTAACACCTGTACCGGGTAGTTGATTTCTTGCAAAACAAGATGTAAGACGACATCGATGGTTCCGCAGTTTATTTTTTTAATGCTGTTATTGATGTGACTCGACCGAGACTGGGCTGAGAAATCTGGTGTTGTGACAACTTTCACCGCTTTGTCTCATGGACACACAGGAAAGGAAAGAGTGGACCTGCAAACATGAAGTCCAGCTGGAAGTGACACAAAAACCATAAAGGAAAGTTCAAAGTTCATGAGCTGCAGTGGGAAATGAAGGTTAAAGTCCAACAGCAGCTGTGCACAACGTTCAAGATACTAATAAATAATAACATTCATGAACATACAGTTCATTCATTTGAAATCAATTTTGACTAAATAAAAGGATTAAATGTCACATGTTATTCCCATGCCCAAGAGCAGTTAAGTCTGTTTTATCTGTCTTAAAGCTAGAAATCACTGAATCCTCAAATCCTACAACACAAGGGCACTGACTTTGTTCTGTCAACAGTTGTGTAATCCATTAAAATATCGATTAAATGTCACAAGTGACAAATGAAAATGTTGAATGCACTTTTTAATTGAACCCCCCACATTAACAGCTAATGAGTGCAAATGATGAACTAATACAGTAGAAACACAGACTCTGGAAGAATAAACTTGCCAATGTCATATTCTAAAAAAGCCAACGGCTTGTTTTCATCAGTCAGGCTGCTAAAGTTATATAGCTGAAATTACTTTGAGCCACTGGGAGAAATACATTACCTCACTAACCCCATAATCTACAGTAGCTGTGTAGTGTACCTCCTAACAGGGCTCATCCAGATTTTAAATTGGACAGAAGGTTTGAGATATAAAACAATCATTTTGGTGTAAGAAATGACACAAACATTTTATGGCATCACAGCATTATAGCCCCATTCATTGTTATAGAGCAAACTGGGATGACATTGCACATTTTAAGGTTCTCCCTTTGGTTTATAACTTTAGAGGCGAGTGTTGCATGTTCACAAATATTCACCAATCGGTTCTGGGGCACAGCAATAAGAAATGTGAATTCTGAAAAAGGGTTGGATTCTCCTTTAAATGCACAATCCATGACTATGATATAGTGTTCCACCCTCAAAGCATCTGGTGCAGAAAAATAACAGGCTAAAATTATAAATATTAAAGTCATTATATAAGCTGAAGCTCAGCTGAGGGGCAAACAGAGAATGAGCTAAGGACACAGAACAAAGAACACTCAAGGCTGATAGCTGCCCAGTTAGCACACCTGTTCTCCTGCTGCTCATCAGCCCAGCGAAGTACAGACAATTAAAAAGAAAATATTTCGCCAGTCTGAACTCCAAATTCATTCCCCACCTATGTAAATTCAAAAATAGTAACATCAGACAATTTTTGCCACTTTTTATGTGGCAGTAGTGAAAATTAGTCATTGACAAAATTTGGTTTGTTTCGAAATTATGGACACAGAGAACAATTAGATTCAAAATATGATGCAGGCTCAAGATGTTTTTTTTCCTGCAACTATTTTCCCCAAATGATGTACAAATGGCTTGATAAAGTAAATAGCATATGTAGCTGCTTTGAAAAATTCCCTGAGGGAGCATGTCCCCTGAAAATAGACTGAAGTTGGGGCTAAGGCCCAAATGTTTACCATGTGTGGCTCCGCCCCTGCTCATGATGCATGGGTAGGAAAACACTTGACAGTTAACAGTTAGGGAGTGAATTGGCCACTAGGTGTCATACTGGTCAAACCCTTTAAACCAATTAAGAATCCAATCAGAAGAGGGTGCTGTTGATAGTGCATACTTGACAGGATCCTACAACTTGATATATAGTCAGGCCCTTAAGGCACCCTATCCATAAACTGCTATGCAATGACTTTGAAACGACTACAAACTGGACAGGCACAGGCAAGAGAGAACTTAGGGGAAGTTATGGAAAACTCTCTCTTCAGCAGGTCTGCATGCAGTAGTTTCCTGTTTGTGCTGTTTGTACAAAACTTGAAATTATGCTTAAACATTTACCAACTCACAAGCACTAGGAAAACATGTAATAGTGTCTCTTTCGTTATTTAGTACACAATAAATATACCTTACTGCAAACATTTGCCTGTGCGTAATGGAATTGACTCATAGCTACTATTGCTTTTTTTTTCTTCCAAATTTAACCTCAATAGCTCTACACGTTCATTCATAAACATGATGTCATTTCATTTCCAAAATGTCAGCATGGTAGCTGCAGAGCATAGTTTGAGAGCAGAATGAAAAATACTTTCCGCACACGTGTTTTATCTCATCTCATGCTGTCAGCCTGACTTGGCACATTCATGTCAACAATGCATTCAGGGCTTTCTGGTTGGAATTAGGGGGGTGGGGGGTGTTTGTCTGGGTCTGATATAGCTGGATCATTGGCCTTATAGTCAAATTCAGCCAGAATAAGACGAAAATAAGAAATATAAAAAAACAAAATGAGTGGGCAGAGAGATTAGCTTAGTTGTCTAAAATATAATTTCTAAAACCCCCTCAGCTTTCTCGAAAGTAAGTGACGCTAACATCACTTCACAGATCGTCCATCCAAGCCGGGGCAATGCTGCCTTCCCGTTTGCTACGGAGAAACTCATTGCTTGCTGAGTAGTTTTACATAACAAGAGAAAACAATGTTTTTTGACTTTGTCTAAACAATTTAAAAGTCGACAGTTATTCTAATGCAGTGAAAGGTGGTAGAATAAAATGTGCGTCAAATAAATGTTTTAAAGTGATTGTCATCGTGAACATATTTGAAGAGAAAATTCATATAACAATACAGGCCAAGGCCAAAGACTAATTTGCCGTAGCGATTTTTTCAAGGTGGCTGGCTATCATTAAAAAATGAAGCCATTCGTGTCTACTGCCCGTAGGTTGCCAATTTCTGATAACTGTAAACGCAGCACCACTTTCTCCAGCCCCTGACGTCGTCTCCTCCTCCTGACCGCTGTGCCTCACTGGAGAGCTGCATGAGTGTAACAACAAGTAAGTTGTGGTAGCTGACCTGTTGGTGTGGTGGCTAAACTTCTATTACTACATGGTACGTGTTTCTTAAACGAGGCAGCGGTTATCAGTGTGATTCACAGCTAACGGGACGGACAGTCCGTTTAGCAGCCATAACTAAATGTTGCTAATGTTGACTAAAGCTAGCTAGTGGGTGCCAACCAGTGTTAGCTAACGTGTACATGCCAGGCAGTGTATAATTTGGCACACAGGTAACTAACAACATGCATGTTTCCTGGGGGTGGGGGGTGGGGGGCTATTTTATGGAAAACTCTGAGTTTCTTAACCCTGTGATGAGGGGAAGCTCTGTGTTTTCCGTTCCAGACACTGAGTTCACTTTAGCTCTGAGTCAGTTACCACAGTAATTTACTCTGTGGAACTAACCTGCATGCTGGCAGATTTTCTTCAACTAAGATTAAATTCCTGGTTTGACATTAGTTTGTTTCCCAATACCTGTGTTTACTAATATTAGGTCTTTTATGATCAATTAGTCATCAGTGTGAGGATATCCAGTGATCTCTTACAGTCAAATAACACCCTTGGTGTCTTCATCCTCAGCTCAGATTAAAATCTGATCACTGAGACTCTGGGAATCTTAGTGTGAATATTAAGTACCACATCTATTTAATAATTGCAAAGAGAGTGTATGATTCATTGGATCATATTTTAGATGATGTGAACACATGGCAGTAGTGCAGCTGCACAGTCTTCCTGAGAGCACACCCTCTCCTAACTCCTTAAACACCCATACATGCCTAACTAGCATTTCTGTGTAAATGTAAATGTAGTCTGAACCTGTTTTAACAGCATTTCAGTTACTGTATGTTAATTTACTACATGTGAAATACAAAAATGACACTGAGGCTGTTACTGGGTCAGAATTTGATTTTACAATCCAAGATCTATAAATTTATGTCTAATCTGTTTCATCTTTATTTTCATCTTCTTCTGCAGCAGAACTTTGTCCCCATCAGGTTACAGCTGAATAAATATATTTAAACATTTAATCTAACAAACAGTAGATCCCAGCACTTTAAATCTATTAGTGTAGTGTGTATAGTAGGTTTTAACTTGTTGACTCTTTTGTCCAACTCGGGCTCTTTCACTGCTGCTGCTGTTTTTTTAAAAGATAAATGTGCTTTAATGTCACACATCATTTTTTCTCTCTCCACTGGATTAAAATGGAGGTTCTGCTCTTAACCGTTCCCATGGTGAATTGTTGAATCGGAGCTCCAGTGGTGACGGCTTTTTATATTCCTCATGCACGCGCACAACTGAGGTGAAAATACTTATCGACTCAGAGTTCAGGGTGAGGCTCAGAGTTTGTTAAAACCTGATTTCTGGAATATCTCTTTGTGATCCAGTGGAACAGCAAGAATCTCAGCAGTTGAAAAAATTCCCCTACAGTGTTTTACTGTGTTTTCACAATAGTTGCTGTCGTTGTTATTGCCATGGCACCCCTCACATCATGTAGTTGTAGCTGTCTTATTGCACACTGGTGCCACCTGCTGTTGTAGTTTTGCAGGACTGTACAAACACACTTGTGTTTATTCACTTTGTAGTAATATTCACCTATTTCCCCACTCTTAAGTCAAATTGCAAAAAAGAAAACAGCAAAGACCCGAGATTAAGATTGTTGACTAAAATTACTGTAATGTATATCTGTACCTCTTTGATTTTGGTTAATCCTCCAATATATTGATTTATTTCTACTCAAAGTAAAGAGTTCCTACATTATCCTTATACGTTTAAGTATCCTCTTTTTATCTTATACATGTTGCTGCATTTTGAGTTTATGATCGTTTTCAATAAAGATTTGGGGGAAAAAAAAACCATAGAAATGAACTAGTGGTAAAAAAAAACAAAACAGAAGAGCAGTGTATCTGAGATGCTGGACTTAGCAAATGTTTGGCATTTATCCTTTTATTAATGATTTAAGTGAATCAATTATCAGATTTATTTTTGATTCATTTTCATTTGTCATTTAACTAATCAATTAAGCATGGAGCTATGGAATTTGTCTCAACCATAGGTGACAAAAAATACTAGTACAAGTATTTGTTCTTTTAATAGTCAGTGTTACTGTTTCTGCATTTGATCAATGTCTTTTTTACATTTTCTACAGCTTACTCACTTTTTATATTCACCATTGTACTGCAAGAATTAATGTCATATTTATTTGTTCAAACCGACCTAACGCATCCACCAGCATTTGTCTGTATGTACATGTTCAAACTGTGTGCCAGTGTGACAGAAGCAAACATGAGTGTAAAATAATTTTCACTGTATTTTTCATCTTTCTCTTTTTGTGCAGCATGAACATCGCACGACAAGTCCTGAATTGCTCCAGGTTCAAGTGCCAATCATTTAACATAAACTGCAAGAGAAGGTTTTGTACTTCACAGGTAAGTCCTCTTCAGAAATCTTTGAATTTAGCTACTCTGTTTAATGTTTGTTTGGAGATAAACCAAGAGACCCTGTTAAAAAAAAAGTTCTAGGTGCTTGGGTGGGCAGGTGGGATGCATTTGAAAAACTAGACCAAGTTTAAAACGTGATATATTGAAGAACTGTTGGATAATAGATCCAATTTATACAGTAACAGAGCCACCACAGTTACAAAAACACAGAGCAAAGTCGTGAAATGTTAATGTACACCACCAACCTTGTGTGCTTGATGATTATGTAATTTCTTCCTGCACAAGTACACCACTCCCTTATTCTGGGCTCTTGGCAGCTGCTGTAGTTATCATTTAAAACCGGTGGAGCATCATGTAACTGAGCACTTAATGAGATGTTCAAATAGGTGTAATGCATTTAGGTTTTGTGTTGCAGCATATAATGACATCCCGGCACACCCACTCCAAAAGAATTGAGGGACTGGACAAAAATGTCTGGTAAGTGAAAAAATAAAACTTTAATCAATGTGCATGACACAGCAGGAGAGGAGTTCTGAGCACATACCCTGGATCAGTTTCCCATTTCGAAATTCTGGAGAGCATGATCAGGTACGGTTTCCAAGCATGGAACGACAACCTGTCAGTTAGGGTTAAATCTAAACTCAGTCGTCCTGTACGGACTGTGATGAAGTTCGTACAGGGAGGAAACAACACCATTTGGTCTTTATACGAGATGTCTGTGCTTAGAGAGGCACAGAAAATAGCGAATGACCCAGCCAGCCAGATATTTCAGAGCAAGTAGGGTTTTACAGTAAAGCAGCTCATTCTAGTGTTTTAAGCAGCAAGCCTTACCCAGTCTTAGGTGCTTACTATTAATATTATTATTATTATTATTATTATTATTGTCACTATTGTTGTTAATTACAACAGTCAGATAAGTCTGTAAGGATCATCTTTGAAATATTTTGTGTCTGAATTGCTTTTTGTCCTTTGGTCAGAAACATGAAATGAGCTCTGTTCTGTCCAGTAATGATTCAAGTCATTGTCCATTCAGGGTGGCGTTTACTTCAGTGGCAGCAGACCCATCCATTGTTAACCTTGGCCAAGGCTACCCAGACATCCCTCCACCTTCTTATGTCACTGAGGCACTAGCAAAGGCAGCATCAGTGAACAGGATGAACCAGTACACCAGAGGCTTTGTAAGACTAATCAACTGTAATACCACAGTAGACTACGACAAACAGCAAATTCAATTTGATGCCCAGTTATAAAATTGACTACAAGTTGAACTTTATGATTCAAAAAATGTGAGCTGCAATTGGTTATTGTCATCTTGTATCTAATAATGACTTACATGTATTGTGCTCAACAACCAACTAAAACTCTGCATCTGCAGTTTGTAAGTGTTGAAATAGGAGCAGCCATATAAAATTTAAATGAACATTATGTTATTCATTGTAGTTCACTATGTGCTGTATACACTGCCTTTATTTTTCTAATGTACACCCTCTGTTTATTTAAAAGGGTCATCCAACTCTGGTGAAGGCCCTCTCTCAGGTTTATGGGAAGGTCTATGGACGTCAGATCGACCCTTTCAAAGAAATCCTGGTCACAGTCGGGGGTTATGGTTCCTTATTCAGCACCATGCAAGCACTGGTGGAAGAGGGAGACGAGGTGAGGTCTTTCCTCTCTCTCACTGGGTCATACGGGACGGTTTACATTCATAAACATTCCTGCAGTATTTACATATTTACTGTGTAATGTTTCTCCCTCCAGGTCATCATAATCGAACCTTTCTTCGATTGCTATGTTCCTATGGTACGAATGGCAGGGGCCAAGCCTGTGTTGATACCGTTACACCTTGTGAGTTTAACCTAAAGCCACTGGTGTCTGATACACATGTTCCATATTTACAGTGTTTACTTTGCCTTCTGCTGTGGCCTGAGAAGCGGTTATGATCATGACACAAAATATCTCCTGCAATATTTTAGAAGTGTGGAAAGAAGACCATCACAAGTGCTGACTGGTTTCTTGACCCAGAGGAGCTTGCCAGTAAATTCAACTCCAAGACAAAGGCCATCATCATCAACACTCCCAACAATCCTATAGGGAAGGCAAGTATACATCCCAGTCATCGGTCATTATGTTTGAGAAATGATGACTTGACATGACAGAGAAATCAAGTGCTGTCAGCGGTTTGTGTTCTCTTCCTGCAGATTTTCACCAGAGATGAGCTGCAGATGATCGCTGACCTCTGCATCAAACACGACACTCTGTGCTTCAGTGATGAGGTTTATGAGTGGCTCATCTACAGGGGCCATCAACATATCAAAATTGGTACTTTTTCAGAGCAACATACTTAAATCATACTAAAAGTATATTAGAGCCAATCAGCTTCATCCATCTCCTGCACAACAGAACCTCCTCCGTTGTCTTACACAGAGCTACAGGAATGGCATCCTGTTAAACAGGCTGCCAACGAATGCTTTAGATGCCATTTTCACCAGAGAGTCGCACAGCAAAATGGATTCTTATGTCCTTAAAGAAAAAGTGGAAACGTGGCACTGCAAGCTAGGTTCACGTTTTGCTCTAACTGTTTGTTGGTACATGTGACCCAGCTCGTCTGTTTTCCTGTGTTTTACATAAGTTACCGGAGTGATTTTCTACTGGGCTCTCAGGTCCTACCAAACCAACTCAATACTGTGCCTTCTTCCACTTAACACACGCCGTAACCTTAACTCTGTTGTTGCTTCTCTGATCCCCTGTAATTTCAAACGATTTCAGTCTGAAACAATAGTATGATTGTGGCCGTACTCTTCTCACACTGCCCTGAGGATCATTTAAAGCATTTGTGTACACCAGCACCCTAATATTCAAAACACTGAATCTTGCGTTTCATGGTTGTTATGTTTTGTCTTCTTTCTGTGCAGCCACTCTGCCTGGAATGTGGGATAGAACAATTACTATCAGCAGTGCAGGCAAAACATTTAGTGTTACTGGATGGAAGGTGAGATTTAAATCTGTGTATTTAAAACATTGTTTTAACAGTCAGTAATCAGTTCTTGCACACCATGGAGTTGAACTTTGTGTCTTCTAGCTTGGTTGGTCAATAGGACCGGAGCATTTGATAAAGCATCTTCAGACCGTCATGCAGAATACTCTGTACACCTGTCCGACACCTTTACAGGCAAGTCTTTAAAGCTCCTTCAAATCTGTGAGAAAAAGCAAAGCAATCAAATCCACTTTGATGTTGAAGCATGTCTGTTAATCTGCAGGAGGCTGTGGCACAAGGTTTGCTTCTGAACTATGAGCTGATGGGTCAGCCGGAGTGCTACTTCTCCTCACTGGCAGAGGAACTTGAGGGCAAGAGGGACCGCATGGCTGCCATCGTGCAGGAGGCTGGAATGACTCCTGTCATCCCAGAAGGAGGCTACTTCATGCTGGTGGATGTGACGTCTCTCAGTGAGTTACTGCACATTTACACTGGTGTTGCTTGCAAACAGTGTGGACATCTACAGATTGGTGGCTCATTCTAACTGTAATATAGTTTCGTTAACAATTTTCACTTTTCATGTTGATGTTATGTGCCTCAGTGAAGTGAATTTAACAGTTGATTACCAGTTAATGTGCGAGGGACGCTTGGACTTGAGGAGGGAAGAAATAACATCTCAAAGTTGTGATTGTGATGGGAGAGTTAGCAGATATGTGAAAGATCGTTGAGCGCTTTATGGAAAATACTAAAAGATTTTTCAGTTGAATCCATTGGAAAACCGAACATCTGTTTGCATCAATTTCAGAGTTAAAGATGTGTATTTTAAATGCGCTCACTGCAGTAACAAACTAGCTGAAAAAAAAATGAAAGTAAAAATAGTAGAGTAGAGTGCAACTGAATGATTGACATTCATTACATTTAAGTTTTTCCAGTGAGATTACTACAGGACCACACAAATAACGAAACAAAAGAAATGCATTTTTTGTAAAATGGGCTTATTTAAGTTAATATTTTAAAAGGCAAAACTCATTCAACTAAAATCAGAGTGATTATTACTGGACATACCTTTGTTCTTGGATATGTCCTTAGTGTTCTACACTATTATTTTCCTTTAAGCTAATAAAAATTGGAGAAGATGAATATCTTGATAAAATTTGAAACTTGAAACATCATAAATCCTGGTACATAACCAGGAGGATTCATTTCTGCCCTGTGTTCGTTGTAGATCAGGACCTGTCACATATCGTTGATGATGAAGCCTATGACTACAAGTTTGTCAAGTGGATGATTAAAGAAAAGGTAAATTAATTAGAGTTCATTCCATTTTGCTCCCTACGACACACAGCACTCACATTGGAGCTATCATGTTTAATTTTTTTTTAAAATTACTGTCCTTAATATGAAACACATTTTCTATAGAAACTGGCCGCCATTCCTGTCACAGCCTTTGTCGGAGATGAGTCCAAGAAGCAGTTTGAGAAATACATTCGCCTTTGCTTCATTAAGGTAAATACAAAACCTGCAGTTTCCTCTTTTTGGAGCGAAAAACAGAATTTTCATAACCTTTGTCTGTTGTTTTTCTGTGTACAGCAAGATAGTACTCTGGATGCAGCAGCGAACATCTTGAAAAACTGGAGTAAGATTTGATAGGGAGCAGTGTCTGAAGACCTCAGCATGATTTCAGGGAGGAGGACCATCCATGGGGTCAAACTGAGGGTTCGGCATTTGTTTACAACATTGTGCACAAATTGGGAATTATTGAAATATTTAGATTAAAACCATGAATAGTAAATTGTGTGTCCCTTATTTGGAGTGTATCCTGTTTTTAAGGGAGAGGATCAAAATTACGGAAATGAATTGTTGTAATAAATCCTCTCAGGTGTGAGGTGTGTAGTTTTTATCGGGTATATCAGTAAACAACCCCTTATTAATTTCTGTTTTCACACTGTATAGATTTAGTCTGTTAATATGTTAATAGTAAGTTAATATTTGCATAGGGTTTTAAGAATAGACACAATAGACAGGATAATTTTGATTTTTTTTTTTTTTTTACTGCTTTCTGTTTTAATAAATTTGCAGAAAACTTCTTAAAATCTCCTTTTGCTTTGTCATTATGGGGTATTGAGTGTAGATTGATCAGAATTGATAATGATTTTAGCATAACAAAATGCAACATAACAAAATTGGGGGTTTGAATACTTTGTGAATGCACTGCATTAGCTTTCCATTTGTCTTTAGGAATCCTCTGTAAATGTAACCACAAATGATGCAGATCTTTGTTGTGCCAAGAATGTATTTTGTTAAAACCAATGCAATCAATAACTGTACTGACTCAGCATGTTGTTTTCCAAATCATTCCGTTGTTTTTTCTGACACAATTTTTCATAAGTGTATGTGTGTATTGATTACATTCATACCAATGCCGCAATACTGAAATGCAATTCTGAATTGCATTAGATGCTGCATACAATTTACATGTGCCACTTGTTCATGCACTCTATATGCTTGCCTGACCAGTAAAATCAATATCACAGTAAATCTAGTACCTCCATGTAGGTTTTTACGTTAGACTACAGCTTAGTTGGCTCAGTATAGCAAAATGGTACCTAGCTGGACAATATTGCTATATAGTATTTTGATGTAAGCCTTGATAAACTAGCTTTAATCAACGTTTTAAATTGATAAACATTTAAAAAAAAAATTGGAATAGACCATAATCGAACATTTATGAAATATATATTAAAAACCAAAAGAATAATAATTAGGTAGCGAATGTCGCATACAGTGCATCCATTTAAAAAAAAAAAAAAAAATCAATTATCTTACGTTGGTAGAGGTGTGACGTCACTGAAGGCGTGACTTCAAATGGAATTACGCGGGTTCAGGTGAAGGCATCTGCGTACTTCACCAGTAGTAAAGTGCTCTATTGAAAGAGTAAGGTACTTTATTAACTTATAAACAATGTGACGTAGCTTGTCATTCACAAAACTCAACACAAGGTTGCATTGTCAAACCTTCACAAACTGTCTAAAGTGTTCGTCGTGGTTCCTGTTTGCGCTAACTAGCTAAATCAGGTAAGCTAGCATATTTTAGCTAGCCTGGCTTTTGAACCAGGGCTAACAAGTTACCAAACACCACAAAAGCAGCCAATAGAATGGATCACTAGACAACAGAAACCTAAGACGTGTACATATTGTGATTGCTTGTTGTGCCGTGACTAATGTCACCTCAAACCTGTTAAGCATTCATTTTCTATCCTTTCAGAAAGTACAGCTAACTTCCTCTTGTGAGCGTGTCGAACTCCAGACTCAGAGCAGCAGGTACAGCAAAGACAACAGGTAACCCTTGACTTTAACTGTGCATAAAGCTATACTCCTAATGTGGTTTGGCTATTTTAACCTCCAGTTGACCTACAGGCATATTTTTTTATGATGCGACCAAAACACTGCTGACAGGCAGCACATCAGTGGTATGAAAACACCGGACAGTTTTGTAATAGTACTAAACAATGTTAAAGTATAAACAACGATTCCCTAATAATTTTTGCTTTCAAATTAAGAAAAAAAAAAATCTAGATCATCTTGATCAAATGAATCCATTTAGATGAGTCAGGGTCCTGCTGTTGTGAATGCTGGTTCACTTCCATGGCTTACTGGGATACTTCAATATAGTGGAGTTGTCATTAATTTTGTGTAAGTTAGTTCAAGAATTTTCTGTTAGTATAAAACGGTTACGGCAGTACAGTACATTACATTATCTGGGCCCTGAAACTGTTTAATGGAATGATGTCTAAAAATGGTAAAGGTCCTACCTAAGGTTGACTAAGTTGACCCCCCCCCCCCCCCCCAACAGGTGTAATTAAACAGTTGAGTGAGCGAGGTGTCAGTCAAGCATAATCTGTACATGTCCAAACAGCTCTGTGAAGAGTTAGGACTATCCTGTTTTGACAAATATTGTTGGAGAAATGTAAATGTGAAAGGCGGAGCTATGTTTTTGTTCACAGTGCCAACAGAATTCGACCTGTGCCCAGATAGCGGCCAGTTGTGGTTACTGATACAGGAATTCTAGACTAGAACAGTTTGCGAGAGCGCTTTGAGAATCAGCCTCAGCCTGCAGTCTTATAAGCAGTTAGGCTGGTTTTCTAGACAGAGAGGAAACTTTTCTCCTTCAGTTCAGATGCAGACGGGCTGATTGATGATTGAATATCTCTAGCCTCTCAGTACAATCAATCTGTGGTAATATGACCATATTTTTTAATTGTTTTACAAATTTTAGTTGTGCAACATAATGATTCCATGCAAAAATGATATATTTATTTATTGAAGATTTGGTTTTACCCACTGATTTCCCTAAGCTGTAGCTAAATTTTTATACAGAATTGAAATCCAATTTTTGGGGAGGTGGTGACAGTCTTAACAATATTACAGACTACATAAGAAAAACATAATGCTAATCAGCGCCTGTCAGTCCACCCGTTGCTATTTTACTTTAATCATGTTACATCCTGACGCGTGTCATGTGCTCTGCAATGCACATCTTTATTCTGTCTAATTTGTCACTGGGGAGAATAATATGTGTGAGAAATTAAACATTAATGTTCTGCATATACATTGTGCTTATGGCTGCCATGCAAGCACTGAGTGGGAGTCTCTCACACTGTGGAGTGTACTCTCTTTCTACAATCTGACAAAGGTGTACATGTACCCAACATAGTGTCTCTTTGTATGGCATCTAAGCATTGGCAGTTGCATTGGGGTTAAAAACAGAAAAAGGCAGAGGACATTTAGAGTTGTCACAGTCAATAAAATGTGAAAATAATAAGATTAATGATGGCTGAATTCCATTTAGCTGCTTCGGGTTTATATTGCGAATGCTGGTCACAGTGTCATGGCTTACTGCAACATCAGAATAGAGCAGAGACATTGTTAATGTTATTAGTAACACCTTTGACAAGTCAAAACATCTGATGTGAAAAAGACTTAGAATAAGAAAAGAAGATCTGAGTCAATGGGCTCATTTCTCCGTCTGAACTGGGATAAGAAGAAAGAGAGAGGTTGTTGGCTAATTTTCATCTAATGTGATCGTAATTCCTGCCATGTACTTCACATCATAGCAGAAAAGCCAACAAAGTGTAATATAAGAGACAATTTTGCATCTTTGCCTTTTTAAAAAAAAAAAAAAAAAAAAAAAAATTACTCCATGATACAAATGTTCTCTGTAAACAATAGCCCACAATGCAGATCAGCAAACTCTATGGACAGGCTGTTTATGGGGCAAAATGACTGGTGGGCACTGATCAACCTTTTTCACAGCAGAACGTTTGACTTGTCAATCACAGAAATGCACAGGTGCCTCATAGTATGTACGGGCCCCAGTAGTGGGCCAGCATGCACAGTACCACCGGTCTGGAAACTGACTCACCTGAATGGAATGAAGCCCTCATTAAAGTATTCAGTTACACTTATGTGACTTTTCTATATATCTAGTGTTAAAGTAGTAGTACTAGTATTTTTTTTAATATGTTTAACATTTGTAGATTCTTTGTCATCAGATCCACACAGCACTGTTACTAATGTTGTGTTTATGGATGCTTTGAGCCACTTGAGGGAGACAAAGTACATCAGACTGAAACAAAATTTGACAGTGCACAGTTAATGAAGAATTTGTCTTTCCATTCTACATCTGTGATGCAAAAGAAAAAAAACTAAAGCCAACTCATTTTCAGTTGAATGTCGATCGATTTTAACATTTGTATGAATAGCACTTGATACTCAAACATGACTGCTGCCGCAGTAGGGCGGAAATATGGAAGCATCAGGGATGGTCACATTAACAGTGGAAGAACAAGGACATGCTTTGCCATAGAAAATGCAAACATTTTAAATGATGCAAAAACTCCTCACAGATTGCATTACTTGTTGATTTATGTATTCTGTACATCTGTGAGCTGCCTTGTAAATTATACAAGTGGACCTAAATTACTGCACATGCTTTAATGATTGATAGCAGGAATCTGTCAGTTTCAGTGGCAATAAGATGTGAGAAATTCAGTCTAACATTATCAGAATATTTGCTATTTAATTGGAATTCCCCACTGCTTATGTATATATGAAATACCCAGAGTACCTACCACACAGGTACATGTAAACTGTACAAACCACATGCAAATAGTGTATCTTAAGAAAAGGCTGGTGAATTAGTGCATGCCATGGTGCTTTCTCATGGCTAAACTGTATATTAATCAATCACATAATTTTTTACTAATCATAGTTCATGATGAAGTGTCAATCACAATAGTAAAATCTCCAAATCGTCCTCAAGATCTGTAACAACATAATGAAAGTAGCATGAAACAGCAATAGGAGAGGCACTTTCACATTCATTATATAATTATAATGGAAAATACTGGTGAGAATTGTTTTGTGTGGACACTCAGGAAGTGACATTTAAAGATAAGCAGTAAATATTGGCCTCAAGATTAAGCTTAATTCCTCTTACAAATTGGGCAAATACTTCCTGTCAAATTCAGAACTCAGACAGGTCCATGCAGCATGATTGTGCTTTTGCAAATGATGGGATTCCATACCTGAAGCAGGTTTCTGTGTGTGCTGCAAATTTGGTGCAATAAACATCCAACTTAAAGCTATTTCCAGCTGTTATAGTCAACAGTGGTATGCCTGTGCTTAATCTGTTAGGAAGCACTATCTGATGAAATGCTTTTAATTGTAGCCTCAGAGTTAATAGTTAACGTTCCAAGCTACTTGGCATGAAATTGTGCTGTGCTAGGGATGAAGGTGCTCCGTGCTGATGGAAAAAAAAAAAAAAATAGGGGAAAGGTAAGGAGGGGGCGTTGATGTTCAGCCCCTTCCAACCCCTAGATTAACATCTACACACCATGACTGTGAGAACCTTTAAATATATGCAGTGCTGGTGATGTCATGGAAACAAGAAGCCATGTTTATCCAGGCTTATACATAACCACATACAAAAAAAAAATTGACACCTGTCTGCCCGGACAAAAGATCCATTTCTTCTACATATACATTTCTTACTCTTTCGCTCTACTGTGTCCACAGCCTCATGGTTATAGAATGTCAGCAGCTAGCTTGTCTAGTAATTTGATCCCTCGGTCTGTGGCCGGTCTTTAGCCGTGCAGAAATTATGAGGTTGCTCCAAGTAACTTGTTGAAGCAGTTCACTGTGATTTGAGTTCAGTGAATTAAAGCATTGAACTGGTTAAACCTGTCTGAGTCTTTGCAGTGGATGGCACAAATCACGTTCATCAATAATACTTTCAATAAATGCCTTTGGAGAGAGGCCGAC